CCCCCCCCCCCCCAACCAACTCTTACCGGTTTATCTTGAAGAAGTTGATCAATGATGGCAATTGCTTCCTTCATGGCGGAAGGCGACGGCGCGAATATTGACCACTTCTCTTCCTCAAGCATATTCACTGATACTCCTAGAACGTGAAGTGTTGGCCGCTTGAGGAATAAAGGAGGCAGGGAAAGACAAGGATGTTTTGAACACATTCAACTTTTGACTGCTTAGCTTTGCATGCTTACCTCTGCAGTATCTTCTCAGTGGAAAACTCAACTCGTGGTAGATGTCATTCTGGATGATGTGTTTTTTACTAACCTGTAACATTTTCCAGCTGTCTGACATTCATTCCTCCTGGGCCGATAAACTGCGAACGTTTTCTTAAAGGTACACGGACACTTTCTAAATAACACAATGGTGAAATATGGTTTGATGGTTATCACTACACATGGTATAGACGATGTCTAACCATCTTTCACTTGGGTTGAAGATTACTTTACCAGTGACAGGACCATTGTCTTTGGGTGTTGACCTTGCTTCAGAGATTACTGAATTCATAATTTCCAACACTTTCATTCTATCATCTGAAGTAAACAATTATCACACATTCAGCATTCGTAACGTATTTCAGAAAAAGAAATGTTAAATCAACCTGTAGCCTTGTATATGGCTTCCTCGACAATATGAAGTGGTAAACCAGGAATCTTGAAATCTGCCTGTAAGATGGCGAACAGATATATTTAAATATATATTTATGCATAGATCGTCCTACAGATCTTCACAATGTACTTCACCTGAAGTGCTGTAATTCCATTTCGCGTTCCTGCTATTTTAAAATCCATATCTCCCAAATAATCTTCTATACCCTTAAGAAAAAACCTGTCATTGTTAGTATTCAGCTGAAATGAATGACCAATGACAGCACTTACCAAAATATCTGTGATTAACTTGTACTCGCCAATATCACCATCTGAATCTGAGCTAGTCACCAGGCCACATGCTACCCCAGCCACTGCATCACTGATAGGTACACCTGGAACAGTATTGCTTTTATTGAAAGTTTCAATTTTTTTCTCCTTGCAAGAAAGTCACTAAGTCAGAGATATTCTACCTGCGTCCATAAGTGCCATACTCCCTCCACATACAGACGCCATTGATGAAGAACCTTCACAAAATAACACGATTCCGTGAATATTTCACTGTCTTTTCATAGACTTGAGAATGTCACCGTTCTCCATGCCATCCAGCCACCAGGGACCAGTTGTTCAAAGCTGGATTAGCGCTAATCCTGGGTTTAACTCGTTGTTTTAGTATTTCTGCATGTCTGTTTATTTCAAAATTTCAGAAAAGAAAACTCCTATTGATCCAGACATGATTTGTGAAGAAATATTTCCAAATTTATAAACAACTTGTTGGAAAGTTTGCTTTAAATTTTAATCTAAGGTTGAGCTTAATCGGCTTCGAACAACCCGCCCAAAATGTTTGACAAGACGACTACAACTTAATAACATTATCCTTGTTTGAAACTAATGTTCAACTAAACCTTGCATTCTTTTGTTTCTTACCATTGGACATCATGACTTGTGATGTCAGACGTATTGTGAAAGGAAACGATTGAGGAACCACAGCAGCTAAAGCTTTCTCTGCTAAAGAGCCTGACAAATGGAGGAATACAATTGACCTATGTGTACAGTAAGCATACGAAGTTGACCATTAATTGACCATGTGTTGCATAGGAGCCAGTACATTACTTGGGTCAACCTTACAAGAAAATATTTCGATGTAATTTACCATGTCCAATTTCTCGTCGTGAGTTTCCAGCAGTAAGACCAATTTCGTTGTTTGAAAATGGCGGGAACTTTAAAGAATGCGAGATGAGAAGGAAAGTAAGAATTTCTGAAACAACTTAGAACGGAACTTATAAAGTAATCTGTACCTCGTAGTGTAGAAAAAAGTGTTTTGTTATTTCGCTTCTAAAGTAAGAATACATTTTATCATTTGTTATCCTAAAATCCTGCTCATATTTTTCATGATGTATGTGTTAACATACCCTGCAGTTGTATCACGTCTGTTTGATCTGATGAGCGGACCAGCGGCGTCAAATGTTACAGTACAGAATACCTAGCACATAGAAATCATCCATATTATTAGAATCTGTCGCAGAACATTTTAACTCCATTAAGAATCCTACCTGTGTTTCACCTCGTTTAAACACAGCTGAACCATGAAGTGGTTTAAACAAATCAACATCACATGAAATTGGACGTAGCGCATCCAATGATCTTCCATCACATCTGAAATGCAGGAAAAAGATGTTAGCTGTCATGAAATCATAGGCGGATTTACTGGGGGGATTAGGGGGGGGGGGTTAAACCCCCCTAGAATCTCTCTAACCCTCTAATAAAATGTTCAACCCCACCAAAATTCACCCCTCCTATTTTGTGTGAAAGGCTTTAACCCAAACGCCTAACCTCTGCCGAAGCTCACGGAGTGGTGCCACTTGCACCCCACCAGAAGTTTTTCTACCCCTCCTTTTAAGTAAATGAAATCCGCCCTTGCATGAATGAAACCAAGTTTAGTAACATTGTTTTCATAATATTGATTCCTGGCAGAGGGAACCAGAGGAAACCAGGGGGGTGAGGGCCTATAGTTTCATTTTTCACAACTGCTCCAGGTCTGATAAATGTACAAAAATTCACACTTGCAATTGACCATTTGCGTAATAGACTGAATTTTGATCTAAACGAGTGTAGACACAGCTTGAAAGAGCATCACAAAATTAGTAATATTCCAAAGTTTCGTTGCGAAATGTTGTAAAATGCGGATAATATAGCCTTGCGAAGTTTGCAATTTTCAGTCATTTTTAGATTACAAACGGGAAATTGATGCCCCAAAGGGTTTGGGCTTGTCAATTTCCCGTTTGTCATCTAAAATGACTGAAAATTGCAAACTTCGCAAGGCTATATTATCCGCATTTTACAACATTTCGCAACGAAACTTTGGAATATTACTAATTTTGTGATGCTCTTTCAAGCCGTGATGAAATTTTTGTCTAGATCAAAATTTAGTTTATTACGCAAGTGGTCAATTTCCATCTACAAAACCCTTCAACAGTGTTTTCAACCAACCTTGCTAAGCCAGTCAAAATGTTGCTCCTGAAAATATCTTTGACTATTTTGTTAAATATTCGCGCGAAGGTTTGGTAATCGACATCAGGAAAGTCTTCTGAAACATGGAATGAAGATTTTGTAAGGAAATCGTCTTGTCTCCGCGGAAAATATCTAATCATGCACCTTTCACTTTTTCAAACACGTTTTCTTGAATCTTTCGAATTTCTTGGTCCCGGGGAAGCTAAAAAAGAATATATTTTATAAAGAAACATAAAATGTGAAAAACTTTAAATCAAAATGTCTTTAAATTCACAACACTACCTTTGTTAATGTTGAATCTAGGAATACGTTAGGAATTGAATCTTCTGATAATCTAAAATGAGAAAAATGACGACAGATCAGTCTTTATTGTTTGAAAGTTCCCACAATTACAAAACAATGTAATTTTGTTGAAAATTAGTTGATCTGTATATTAAACATGCATCACAATCATTGCATGATCACAATACTGACACTTTGACGCGTTGCGTCAACTCCTGAGGATCTGTTTGAATCGCGCTGAAAACCCTCTTATCTTTCCCAACTTCATTTTGCAACTCTTGAAGCACACTGATTATCGACTGACACTGAAATAGAGAAAACAGCCGTACGTAGGCTTGTATATATTGTTTATGAATGGTATTGTTTATAATCAAATACTCTGTACCTCTCCATGACCTTTCATAATAGCTTCAACCATTCTACTGGTAGTGACCTCTTTACCACTGCCTTCCAACATTACTACACACATAACAATTTGGTAATCACAATAATTTCTTTTAAAGTTTAATTAAAGAACTTAGCTTTAACCATTATTAAAGTTATCTTAATGAAATTCCTACCAACTCTGTGTTGAGTACTTGCAACAACCAGATTCAAACTGCTTTGTTGCAATTCTTGTTTAGTTGGGTTAATAATTAGTTCACCATCGACATCACCAATACGAATTGCACCTGAAAATACGAGGTTTCACTGCATACATAATCGCTCATCTCTTGTCTAAGTTATATACCAGGGAAATGTAATGCTGTGTACATTGCATCTATAATATTTATATAGTGTTAGTCCAAAAAATTTCCAAATAAATCATTTACCCACTGGACCATTCCAAGGAATATTGGAAACACATAACGATGCAGAAGCTAAAAAATAAT